CAGTCAGACTAAATCTATGCAAACACGTCATGGAAATAAATGGAACTAATGTATGGAACATCCTTCCTAATGGAGCACTTAATTTCAGCATCTTAGCATCCCACCTTGTGCTAGAAACTCACCTAGTATTTTGCTATCTAGAAACATAACTACATCAATATGATTTCTGTTACCGACACTTTATATTGATGTAGTAATTTTGTAAATTCTTATTCCGTATTATATACCTGCCACTATATGTATTTTTTTCAAGATTGACTGCTTCACCTTCTATTATTAAATTCATTGCAAATGCTATGTTTACTTTAGAACCTGTCGGAAATGCTATGCGTGTTAGTGGTTTTGGAGGTGTAACTGTGAGGTGGGGGAGAATGTACGACTGAGAGGCTTAAGAGGCAGTGTGTCTGTGAAGCGGGCGAGGCAGTGTGTCTGTGAAGCGGGCGAGGCAGTGTGTCTGTGAAGCGAGCGAGGCAGTGTGTCTGTGAAGCGGGCGAGGCAGTGTGTCTGTGAAGCGGGCGAGGCAGTGTGTCTGTGAAGCGGGCGAGGCAGTGTGTCTGTGAAGCGGGCGAGGCAGTGTGTCTGTGAAGCGGGCGAGGCAGTGTGTCTGTGAAGAGGGCGAGGCAGTGTGTCTGTGAGGCGGGCGAGGCAGTGTGTCTGTGAGGCGGGCGAGGCAGTGTGTCTGTGAGGCGGGCGAGGCAGTGTGTCTGCGAGGCGGGCGAGGCAGTGTGTCTGTGAAGCAGGCGAGGCAGTGTGTCTGTGAGGTGAGCGAGGCCACAGACTGTACACCCAATGAGTCACGATATCACAAAATAAAAATAATAAAAATAAACATGAACAAATTCGAGGGCGATAGATCTGATACAATATGTAAATTGTTTAAAGAGTACACACAGATGCGTGATATCTTGAACACGTTGGTCTTCCTGCGCTCTACCTAAGATTACTAGGTGAAGTTATATCTGCCTCTTACTGTGTGGTATATAAATATATATAGGAGTTAAATGGCAAGTTTTTCTCAGAATGCTCCGTGCTCCCTTCTTTGAGGCTGTGGGTCCCTATAATTGCACCAGAGGTGGTACCCCCCTTATATATATATATATATATATATATATATATATATATATATATATATATATATATATATATATATATATCACAACTGGTATGTACAGGACGCCTTAATGAAATGGGTAGCTTTATCATTTCATAAGAAAAAAATTAGAGAAAATATATTAATTCAGGAAAACTTGGCTTATTAGGCAAATTGGGCCTTGCAAAGTAGGCTGAGAAGTGCGTTCTGGCTACTAGGTACGACATACATATATATATATATATATATATATATATATATATATATATATATATATATATATATATATATATATATATATATATATATATATATATATATATATATATATATATATATATATATATATATATATGTGTGTGTGTGTATATCACGAAAATAAACACGTGATTAAGAATGTGACAATGTCAGACCACGAAGGAAAAATGAAACAGGAAATTTCCTTAAGTACTTTCGTATATTAAATACATCTTCAGAAGGTCCAAAGGAAATTTCCTGTTTCATTTTTCCTTCGTGGTCTGACATTGTCATATATATATATATATATATATATATATATATATATATATATATATATATATATATATATATATATATATATATATAACTTTTTAGACACTCAACCCACCAGAGGACTCGAACACTGGCCATCAAGGTGGCAGTTACGCACTGTATCCACTACACCATACTTCAGAATCCTAAAAGAGGCTCGAGTCCCCTGGTGGGTTGAGTGTCTTAAAAGTTATATATGTCTCAAACATCCAAGATAATGTTATTGTCTTAACATAAATAACGACATTAATTTTTGTTCTGTATTAATGATCCTGGACCATAATCTTGATCCAGAGTAAGGCATTGGATTTGATCTTGGATAATTAGTATAGTCCTGATTCAGCTAAACGGAAAGGTTAAAATGTAAATAAAACATTGATATTAGCAGTAGTGTTTATAGTGGTAAAGACAATTATATAAACAAAAGTATCACTAATAGTAATACAAATTATTTTATTACTAAGAATAGGTGAAGATCTATTCGTGAAAAAATTACAATTGAAAAATGTTGGAGGCAAAGACGCCTACAAACTGTCTTGTTTGTCGACGAGATCGCTCCTCTTAAATGTTAAGGGTTGTGTAATCCCTAAATCATGTGTACACAGGTGTTCAAAAAAGTGTACATTTTGAGCAACAGATGTTAGACAAACGTGAAGATAAAGTTGCGTATCCAGTGAATAGCAGAGCTAATGTAGTTGATGGTTTAGTGTACAAGCAGACTGTAGCCCATGAAGGATGTCTCTGGTCTACCTGTATTCTACAAAGATCAAAAATTGCAAAAACGATCCATTTAGCTTCTCTACAATGGCCTCCCTTAAGAATAAACTATTATACACACGGTGTAATATGTGACAACTAGATACATGTGCCCGTTGCATTGAACAAACCAGTTTTGATGCCCCAATCATCCCCAAATTCGTGTAAATATATAACCCCTTATGGAGACAGGTTGGCGACCAAGACATTCCCTCACTTCAAGACATGAAATAGCTTGTAATACACAATATAGAACAAACGAACTACAGAATCTCCTCGGTGATTACACATCACTGTGCATGAAAGTGTATTTCAAGCTCTCAAACCTCAAAGCAAACTCTGACTTGTGACACTCAAAACAAAAAAAGTGAAGTATACAAAAATAGTATTATTTGTCGAGTCTTTATATGTAATTTGTTGTTAAAGATGTTCAAAATTAGTAACCAATATTCCAAGTGCATTATTGTTCAAGCAGAATGACTTTTTTACAGAATAGATTGGTGTTATTCCTTCATGTAATATTTCTGACGTTCCTAAGAGTATTGCTGACTGTATTCCCATTGAAAATGTTGATATAAATTATGAATGTAATCCATGCAAGTTAAACTGATAACATTCCTGCAGGTACACAGATAAAACACATTAACCTGATATATCAACTTCGTAGTCCTGGAAATAGTACTGTTAGTTTTCTAGGTATAGTTTCGTGACAATATTTTTAGGTAATGTTCACCGACTGGTAGATGAACTGAGAACATAATTACATTAGTAATATGTAGGACTATGGATGAACAAAAAAAAACACATCCAGGTACTTCTACAGGCAGGAGGATGAATAACTGTTCCTGAGGTTTACCTCTACAGGCAAGAGGATGAACTGTTCCTGAGGTTTACTTCTACAGACAGGTGGATGAAGAACTGTTCCTGAGGTTTACTTCTACAGGCATGAGGGTGAAGACCTGCACCAGAGGTGTACATCAACAGGCAAGAGGATAATGACCTCTCCCTGGGGCTAATTGAGCTGGCAGAGGAAGTTCATCAAGGTGGTGCAACTTGAATCACCAAGACGGAAGTAAGCGGTCCCGTTGTTTGCCATACAGCAGCAGGTTCTGCCAGTGTTGTCGGGATTAGGAGGAAAATATTCCCTCACTTCAGCATTTCGTCCGTTCAACCAAATGTTTTGTTGCACTCCAACCCACACGTTCGCCACTGTCAGAATTGAACCCAATAAAGAGCATTAAGAATTAATGAACAAAATATGAAAGTATATCTATTAAAAACCTAGAGATGCCTGTCAACGAACATGGTTTAGTCACAGGAATAATTTATATTAGTAAATTTGTTTGGCTTGATAAAACACTACATGGAATTCGTCTGAAAAAATGGGATACTGGGAGCGTACAAGCTTTGTGGATTTCAATTATTTATAGCATACTAGAGGGAGTACCTAGCGATATTTTTTTGTGTATTTCCTTCCCCAGATGTGGCCATATTTTTACAGTGGAAGCCAGCATGTTTACAGCTTCCTTCTGTCGTCCATGGACATCTCTTCTACATATTGTGCAGTGGGTTATTGAGCACTCAATTCACAGAGAGTGATTGAAATGTTTTTACACAATGATTGTCAATGTTTGCAGCGATGTACAACTAGTGACGTGATGAGACAGAAGAGGACAGCAAGATGGTCGAAGAGGATCTAAGGCCAACTAGACAGACGATCAGAGTAATGGCATCACGTCTTTACTCAAAGCTAGACCAGAGAGGCAACGTTTGGGATCTATTTCAGGAGGTCGAACTGTGACAACCCAGTAATGATACGACTGCTCCTCTTATTAACAACCCAACAGTCTTGATGCAAAGATTATTTTAACAACCCAGTAATGTGGTACCTCTCTCACTCGTATTCACCGTTTTAACGTAAAATTGTCAAACAAATAAAACATGAGTAGTATTAACTTACTATTTTTAAAGCAAAAGGATTACTCATAGCAAACAGAACATGGAAGATTACTCATACAAACAGCTAAACCTATTGATAGCAGACAATAAATAAATCTACAAAAACTAAGAGGAAGAATATTTTAAATTCAAAATTTATACGATTTTATTTAAGAGATCATTTATGCTTAGTACATCCTAACAGATAGAATTCTACACCAAGGTGATTAAAATAATAATGAAATAGATAACGAGGATAAGGCCCTTGTTGCTATTCCAGTAACTGAAAATCCTCCGCTGGAATATAATTCATGAAATATTCAACTTATTTATATTTTAAGCTCACACACACACAACCCGTTGGCTCCAAAAGCAACTGGAGCTACTGTCCAAAAGCTCCAAAAGCAACTTTTGGCTGTCTTTCTCTGCGTGAGTAACCAAGCCCTTGTAATGACTTTTATTTTAAGTCTAGCTTTTGTTGTTTGGTGTATAAAGTCTAGCTTTTTAATTATTAATCTTAAAGGTTTCTCTTAGTTAAGTTACTTAGTTCTCTTCTCCTGCACCTCAAGTGAGGGTAAAGTCTCTGCACCCCACGTGAGGGTACCGTCCCTGCACCCCTATTATAAATGTACTATTATAAATTGGTATACAGTAATATTCTTACAGGTACTGGTTTGGGTGTAATACGCTGCTAGACGCAGGAAGGCATCCGCTGTAGGCGCCACAAGCAGGTCTCCACCTAGACACATACAGAACGATCGAGAGGCATCAAACGCCATCTTAATGTTGGGTGGCAAAAGTAAGCGACCCAAATCCTCCAGTCCGGACACCACAGCGAAGGAATTACAGGGCTCTACGGGGAAGAAAATAAATACAAATAAAAGATTTTCTCCAATGCAGCAAATGCTTCAAGAACTGGGGATATTTAATGCCTATATCAATAAAATAAACTTTTTGTTTGCCTGTATGTCCAAGATTGAAAACCATTTCCTTAAGACTAACCTAACACCTTTCTTTGTATGTGATTGATGTTTGGTAGGTGCCTAACGTTGGCAGGTCAATGTTGGCACAGTTGCTTTATGTGCAACATTGCAAACTCTCACAGCAAACTCAATGAAGATTCAAGCAGTGACTACCCGCTTTCAATCGATTCAACCTTCCGATACTACATAGAAGCACTCATCTTGTCTCCCTATATCATAAAACACTACACACACACATACACACACACACACACACACACACACACACACACACACACACACACACACACACACACACACACACACACACACACACACACACACACACACACACACACACACACACATACACACTGATATTCCCAAAATTATACAACAAATTCTACTTGTTATTGTATGGCCCTAGCGAAGAAAAATTTTGGATGACGCTACTCAGACATCCACGATGCTCCACGGGCAGACTCGGCACCTCACCTCTCTCTCTATATACACTGTGTCCTAGCTCTTACTGTTATTATGGGAGGTCCGGAGCTAATGCGGACGAACCTTGTTACTCTTACTGTTACGGGCTCACCATAGCCCGTGCTACAGAGACACTTCGTTCTGAGTAGCTGAATCTAAAACAACAATTCTTACCGAGAGGCGCAGATCGAGACAGAGACAAAGACTTTGTGCAGACGAGGAGTCACAATAGCTTGGCTGAAATATGTTGACCAAACCACACACACTAGAAAGTGAAGGGACGACGAAGGCACAATCGACTTGAGAATGGTCCAAGACGGACCGAAAGGTCGTCGTCCCTTCACTTTCTAGTGTGTGGTTTGGTTAACAAAGACTTAGTGACAGGCAGAAACAGAGAGACGAAGAGAGTGCTGAGAGAGACAGGGACAGGAAAACAGACAGAAATAGATACCGAGACAGATACAAAAACAGAGAAAGACACAGATATATTGAAATAGAAAGACAGACATAGATACAGACACAGACAGAAACAGAGATGAAATATATTGACATGCATTATAGTTCCTCATATGTTCCCATCTATTAGCATTATTTCTCAGAACTTTTATTTGATACTTTTTCGGAGTAAAACGAATATACTTAACCTAATCTAATCTTACACTAATATCACACGATCTGATTTTACCTATTGATACAAGAATATATGTGCTGTAAATATCTCTATTTTATTCGGTTGTATTAATAAACGCCTGTATTACATACATCTCCTGATACCTAACACCTGCATTACATACATCATCTAAAACCTATCATCAGCATTTTATACATTAGCTCATACCTAACACCTTTTTATACATCAGCTCATATTTAACAGATGCATTATATACATTTACTACTATGATGGTTCTATCACCTCTAGCAACTTTAGCACCCCTAGTGGTTCCAGCACTTCTTGTTGCTCTAGGAAATCTGTTGGTTTTAAGACACAAACAAACCCTTGAAACACACAAACATTTCTGACTCACAAACATGCAATTCAGTCTTCAAAATCAAAATCATACGTACAAGTGACAAAAACTTCGAACGCACAAACAATTAAGACAAACACATCAGACACGTAAACCCTCCAGATGCACAAACATTCCAGACACACAAAACACTGACGTAGAAAAGAGAATGGAACGTTGGCCACTCAGTTCTTGGACTCACTTGGATGTTGTTGCATGTAGCAGATGTTACTAACATACAAGCATCCGTCAATGGTCCTATCAACCTGCAAATCATGGAGGCTGCATATCCTGTTGATGTAGCAGAAAATTCCATCTGGAAAAGTCAGGCTGGCAAGTTCTGCACACTGCAGCAAACTTACTGAAGCATTTTGCAGGACAGCGTGGCCGGGATCATTAAGTGTGGCGTTAGGCACCCTTAAACTATACCAAGATGTTCCTTGGGTACTCTGAGTGCTTGAGATGACCCCATAAAAGGCAGAGAGGAGGAGCAGAAGAGCTATGGGGAGCAGGTGCCTCATGTTGGCTTCAAGACGAGCGTCCTCTCCTTGCTGAGGCCAGCCAGGAACTGCTCGTGATGGCATGAAGTCGACTCACACAGTCAGTTCCATTTTCTTTATAAATGTTTTCTTATAAATGTAAGGAATGTAAAGCTGTCGCCCAGTTGGGTGGGTGTGGAGCAAGACCAGTAACTGTGTGACTCACCATAGATGTAAAGTGCCTTGTATAGTGACTGTTGCGAGCCTCTTGTTGAATCACTTGTGTTATAAAAAGATTATCGACATGTATATGTATTTGTGTACATGGATGTATATATATGTACATATATGTGCATGTGTAAATAACATTAACAATTGTGTAACTATCTTCAAAAGATTTAGTTCCTGAACCCATTACGTACCTATGTAACCCTTTCCACCACCGCCCACGAGATGGGTATGTGGTGCATAATAAACAAAACTTGATTTATAAATGTACACTAATCAAAATTTATCTCTCGCAAATATAATAACGTGTTTCTATGTTGTTGTCTGAATAATTACCTATATATTTTCTGCTTTATTTACATCTGAAACTAATTTATTGTGAAGCCTTTAGTTTGGTCAAATTAATAAAAAAAACTTGTGCTAAATGCACAAGTATAAATATTAGACTAATATTAATATGGTGGTGGATTGCTGAAAAACGTTCAATCCCCGAACGTTCAAGTTTCTGGACATCATTCCTCTCCTCCGTCCTGATGTTTCCTTTCCAAGTGCTATATAGTCCTAGTGGCTTAGTGCTTTTTTCCTGATAATTACCGTACTTATCTTGTCTCTGATGACCTCACAGTGGGCCTGTAGTCCTTCTGCAAGACGATCATGTTACAGGAGATCGCTCTGTCTGTCTTTAATACACTTTGACGCTGCCGGGCTATTGAAAAAAAAGCATACCCTAGATGCTTTTGGCGTTTCGAGCGCTTACGCGGCAAGACCGAAAAGTGTATACTCTTTTGACTGTCGTGATACTAATTGTAGGCGTACGTATTTAAATTTGGTATCACTGTGTTCGCAATAGAATTGTCTATAAGAACATACCTATAAAATGCCGCCAAAGCATAAGGCATATCAACACCAAATAAAAAATTATTGAGATCACTAGCCGAGAGCGCCAAACAACAACAAAATGTTTCCACTTTCTTCATGGTTGTGAAGCCCACAGTTGTGCTACAGCGTTAATTTTGGTATCACTGAGATCGCAATAAAATTCTCTATACGGACATATGCATATAAATATAGAATCAATGTCGCAGCCCACCCAAAACAGTGTGGGAGGTGGCCGAAGTGTTACCCGCGGCGACATTGAAACGTGTTTATTCAATTCACTGTCCTGACATTATTTTTCGATGTACGTATTTCATTTTTGTACCAATGTGTTCGCAATAGAATGTTCTAGAAGAACATAAGTATAAAAGGTCACATAAGGATGCGTTCGGCCGGCAACATATATAAAAACTACGTCGATAATATTTGTTGCGTCAACAATACAATTGTTTTACCACGATGATTCACTGCCTGGCCGTTCTCCTTTATAAGCTGTTCGGCTATTAGAAAAAACGTAAATATCATGGCAAACATTTGTAAACTATCCCTAAGTTGATCGGACAGTAAATGGATTTTATACAAATATTTTTTATTTTGACTCTTGAGCGCGGCACGCCAGCGTAATCAGGAGAAAAATAGTTGACGATCTCAATAGTCACCTTAGCGGGAAAGTGTATTAATGTGACCTCTGCAGGATGTTCTTTCACCTGGCTTATTCAGATCAGAAATCTAATGATGGATTGGTCCCTCCCGTCCCCGCTGCCGGTCAGAAAGTCTGTTTAGTTGCAACGAAGTCCCCGTTAGACCCTAGGCCAACTTCGCCCTGGATGCATCCCTTATTCCTATCTAATTCCCTTGTACACACAGAAATCGCAACAACGTGATGCATCAATGAACAAATCCTCGTCACGGCCCTTGTGGATTTGTTCATTAAATCCCTTGTATTTATTTACTGGGTGGTGAAGAGAGACATCAAGTGACAGGAACGAATTCAGTCGTCTACGACGTCGTGGGATCGAACAAAGAACCTTTTGCTTGTGACTCGACTATAGAAATTATACTGCGCTTCAGGCTGGTTTTACTGGCTCTCATCATTCTATCCTGCTTTGTGTTCATTCTAACTCATCTCTGAATGATGAATGATGCTCTGACGCTGTACAAGTAGCCATGGGTCTCATGACAAGTAGTCTCTGTGTTCTGAAGTAGATAGTCTTAAGTAGTAATACTTTCAAGCTGTTCTTCATCCTACTTATGATGTACGCCCCTCTCTGGTTCCGTTATAATGACGAAGTCTTTGTTCTCTGGCATTGAGTCATATTTGGACTCGTCGTGCCCAGGTGAATGAAATGTTACTAGCCACGGTAGAGTGGTTGACAGTTTATATGACTCGGATGTGGATCACCTAACTCTCCTGTGCCCAAATGGCGGTCTGGGGAAGGCTTAACGTTCCATTGGGTAGTGGCTGGTTCCCATGGAATCCTTTTTTTAATGGCTAGATCCGTAGTGCATTTGACAGAGCGACTGTCTCCTGTGCTGGAGACGGCACAGGAGACGGTCGACCAGGCTCCCGGTAATACAGTTGGGCTCTTTCTTGACTTTCAATCGAAAATTTCGGGTTTGAATCTCGGGCAGGATAGAAATCTTTGGGCGCCTTTCCTATCAGCTAATGGCCTGTTCACCTAGCAGTAAATAAGTACCCAGGAGTTAGTCTGCCAGTTGTGGGGTTGCATCCAGGGGAGGGTCAGTAATTCGTCTTTGGGAGGTACCTCGATATAAGCCTTACATGTATAAATATATATATATATATATATATATATATATATATATATATATATATATATATATATATATATATATATATATATATATATATATATATATATATATATATATATATATATATATATATATATATATATATATATATATATATATATATATATATATATATACATACACTCTGGCTACTGCTAGGTAACAGGGGCATAGGGTGAAAGAAACTCTGCCCACTGTTTCTCGCCGGCGCCTGGGATCGAACCCAGGACCACAGGATCACAAGTTAAGCGTGCTGTCCGCTCGGCTGACCGGCTCCCAAACTAACCTAACTGAAGATCTGCACCACTACATGTTCTTAAATAAATTAAATAAAGTATAGAATGAATATATACATAAATAGAGATCAACAACAACAACGTATTGTATTCTAGAGATACACATAAAAATATCACTGCTCTCACCCACGGAGAACGCCTCAACCACCGGCTGCACCGAATATTTCGTAGCTTTGTGGAGCTCCCAGGTCATTGTGGACGACCATGGGGGCTCCCAGGTCAAACGAAAATCAAAAAAAAAGATGCGTGGGGCCTATACTAGATATAAGGTCCTAATCCGAAACGGATAATATTGGCGGTAGTGTAACATCTGGTCCCAGGGGAGGGGCCCTGTCCCTGCCGAGATCTTTTTAATTCAAAAGAACTCTTATTAAAGTGGTGTTTATTTAGAAAAATAATTTAAACATAAAGGTCCGCCCGAAGGGAGGGATGGCAATAAAAATCCGAGCTTCCCCTCTTAAAGAACATACCCCACCCCCCCCCCACCCCCCCCCCCCCCACCCCCCTCCCCCCCCCCCGCCCCCCCCCCCCGGGCTCCCCCCGCCCCCCCAGGCCCCCCCCCCCCCCCCCCCTTTTTTTTTTTATTTTCTTGGACTACGCCGACCCCAACTTTTCATTTTTAAGTAGATCCAACCCCGCGACCGACGTCCGCGGGGACGCCCCCGGGACAGTCAGGGGAGCCCCCCCACAAAGGTTGGAAGCCGCGGGGGCCCGGGGTCAAATTACGATAAAACGCCCAAGCCCTTCGGAAGCAAAAGGAAACTCCAACGATTTTTGATGCGGAGCCAAATGGTTTCGGACCCCCAACACCGCAAAAAATGCCAAAAATAGGAGGGGTAGAAATTTCCCGGAACCCAAAAACCCCACGGCCCGGGCCCCACGACTGGTTAATCTTCCCCGGGGGACAAGAAGACCTTCCACAAATTACCGGTACCAAAATTTTGCCCCAAAAAGGGGGCTCTGACCTGCTAGGACAGACCACCACGGGTTGCCCAGACCCTTACGAATGGGGGGGGGGGGTGGGGGGGGGGGGGGGGAGCGGGGCCAAAAAATAAATAAATGGAAATTTAATAGTTTCCATGGTCTAATTTTTTTTTTTTTAGTTTTATTTTAATTATAGGAATTTTAACAATTTAAATATTTGTACGAAATCATGTTTGACAGAATAAAAAAAATTTTGAAATTTAAAAAATAAATTTTTCAAGAAATAAAAAAAATAAATTGGAACAAATTTTATAGGTCCAAGTAAAAACATATTAAAAATCAAAATATTTAGGTAAAAAATAAACTTTAGGTCCTAAAATAAGGACTTAATTTCCCACCCAATAATTACCTGGTGCAGCCTAAATAATATAAAAAATGTAATTAACAAAATTAAAAAAAAAAAAAAAAAATTTATATTTTAATAAATACATATTTAATTTTTTGTTCTATTCATTCTAAAATATTAATAAAATAAATCGAAATACATCGAATTTTGTTATTTTATCGAAATTAGGAAAACGATGGGAACGTTTTAAGGGTTGGAACCGAGAGACTTCCGGGATCGAATAGGATAGAACCGTTTTGGTCTGGGGATCCTTTCCACAATTTTCCACCATACCAAAATAAAAAAATAAAAACGCAAGGAATTTATGTAAAGATCAAAAAGGGGAGTTTATTGGCTTTTTTTTCTGCAACACCTATTTTTATTTTTTGAAACTTTATTAAGTTTTAAAAATTTTTGGTTTTTCTTTTTTTTTTAAAAATTTTTAATTTCTTCGCCCCAAGGCCCCCGCCCCCGGCCCCCGCCCCCGCCCCGGGCCCCGGTTCCCGGGGCCGGGGGCCCCAGCCCCGTTCCGTTTAGCAAAATCCTTTCCTTTTAAAATTTTTCATAAATCGTTTTTAATT